CCAATTATACTTACCAAATTAAAGCCTACTAAACGCTTTGATACTCACCAATTATACTAATCAAATGTTTTAGCTGATGTTTATTACTTACGATTAAAACCTGTTCAATTAATACTTACTCAAAATCAATTAGTCAAATTCAACTTACACTTAAATCAATACTTACCAATCTCTTTAATCAATACCTCTACACGTAGCAAATAAATACCTCTAAAGAACGTGTCATATTTACCACCCTGTCAAATTAACAAATACTTAACACGTGTAAGCATCGAAGGAAAATCGTACTGCTTTCCACGAATAGGATTTACATGGAAAGTAAAGTAGAAATAAATAAGAAATAAATCACGTCGGAAATAAACCGGTTCAGGTATTAAAATGGCACAATAGGTTTGACGAGCCGGGTTTTCACGTTGACGCGCTCGCGGCGTATCTCATCCGCGTCTCCAGCATCTGAACATCATAACACAATCGGTGCATAAATTCGAATCAAACGGCACGTGACATTGCAACTACCGGATGTGGGTCAGATTTACTCTAGGACGGCGTGTAATCGTCAACGGTACGCTACCTATGTTCCTGCGTGCGGTGCCGCTCTACAAGTGGGTCACTGTTAAATATAGGTCACGGTCGTACGGGACCTTCGTCAAATAATCGTGTTGCTTGGCTTTTACACTTTTCAAGGATCCCAGCATATTGTTGCTCTGGCTGCAACCTATAACTCGAGTATCGACGTCCGCGATTATCGCGGAATAATTCCGCGAACAAGTCTTAATTAACTTCACCGTTTCCCTACGATTTCAAACGCGTTCTTGTTATTTGTTATTTATTGCACGCGATGGGTAGTTTGTCGGAAATTTGTGGGAAATTTTTTTAATTATGATTTGGTAGTCGTGCGAGAAAGTTTGAATCCGTTTGATTTAGAGTTAATTAATTGCAACGAAATATTTGATTTCGAAGAAAAGAATTATTTCGCGAGTATACCTTATTGAGTAATTATTAGGATAAACACATAATTAATAGAAAAATAATATTGCGTCGGTTAAAGTCGATACATAAATATTAATCTATATTCTTTTAGAAATACAGTCGTATCTGAATAAAGGTTTTAGTACAATTTTCGTAACTGACTCCATACTCTATGAGTACATATACGTTAGCTTTTAATTATTTTTCCGCGAATATTTTCGCGGATTATTCTCGTGTATACAAATAAGTATATGAAACATAATCTGCGAACCGTGAATCGTTCAATAGCAAACAATCAAATTACCCGCGCGATGAACGGCGCGTTCTCAAAGTAATTTAAAATTCGCGCCATTATCCGCGCGCGAACGACGCGATAATTTCGAACTAGTCTTGAACAGAAGCTCAGGAAGGGGAAGGTATTGTAGACGATTCGAGATGCGAAATTCGTTGTTATTATGCAAAATGAATTGCTTTCATTTCGTGTTACTTGCATTGTGGATGATTCATCTTCCTCGAGAAAAGAGGTCTACGATATTGCATTTTCAGTTGCGCAAGGGTGCGTAGTAATGTTTGCGATTCTCATTCATACGTGCTCTCGTGCAACGTTTCATTGAAATTATTTACATTTTTCTCGAATGAAAAGAATTAAGAAACCGTATTGCTCCTATTCATGCATATTTGTATTATACGGCGTCCATCTTCAGGGTTGGAATTTCACGTTGCATCAGGAGTTCCGGACAGTCTTATTTAAGATTATTGTTGCATCAACGGTCGTAATTACGTAAAAGTCATTGTCGAATATCCCTGAGTGTTGGTCGTTGGCAAGATTTCAGTAGCACATCGCTTTAGATCAATTGACTGCGGATATTATTGATCCGAGAAATCTATCTTTTCTGCCACTGGCATTTTCTCCCCTTTTCAAACATCTTACAGCTATATCCTTTGCCCTCGTCTCTGACCCACGGATATTTCTCGTCAATAGGAAATCTCGTTTCGTCTTTCAGGATCATCTCGGTCTGCGGGCAATTAACCAACATCGACTGCCATCGTATATGCCTTCGAGACTTTTACGATGCTCCATCTTTATGGTGATACACGGGACAATTTCCGGCTTATCCGTGATACCATGGGGCAGTTGGTTTCTTTTTTGAGGGCTCGATAAATAGCATTTATCGTGATATGTAAAATTTACCCTGCCTAACGTGTCGTTTTATAGCATTTTTTAATTAATGATCAAATTTAGATGAAAGAAGAGTGATAATTTTTATGTATACATTGGAAGGAGAACGTGGTATAGAAATTTTTGCTAATCGATGTAATATAAAAGGGGAATAATATTATTTGTAAATCAGGATTTATGTAGAATTCGATTAATTTAGTTTACAAATGGAGAAGGATATTAATTCTTATAAATTATAAAGTAGTTATAATATGAGATGTAATTTTGGTAATAGTTATTGACAGTGTATCATAGCTACAAGTATAATATAACTTATTAGTAATAGTAAATGTTAATTTCTATACATTCCATTTCTTTCGTCGATTGTATAATAAATATTGTCTAATATTTCGAAAACGAAAATTGAAATATTTTTTGTAAAGAGCAGCTTATTGAACTCGGTTACTGGGCTATAAAATCTGTATCATTAGGGTTTCGAGTATGATTGGATACACGCCATTAAGATTTTCAACGTAGTTTCAAGTGCATCTTTAACACTTTACCCATTGTTCGAGGCCACGTTATTGTTTTAGAAACTCGGCTAAACTACTTGTCCGGTTTGATCATGTAAATGAATTTCTTAAAAAGTAATTATAGGAGAAAAGATGAAAAAGAAAGAGAGCGTGACAATTGATCTAGAAATCATATCCCTTATTAAAACTGAATTAAAAAGGTAAAGAATAACACGAATACTTTTCTGTTAACATTTCATTTTTATTCGTCAATTATGAATATTTAATATGAAAACAGTGGAATTAACGTGTGCTCTAATACAAATACTGTTCACGAAGAATAAATATTTCCATTCCATTTGTATTCGTTTCATTTAACTTATTTGTACAAATAAAAAATACATTTTTGCAAAGAGAATGCAATATGCATTTCTATATCAAATTAAGTTACTAATTAACATTAGTGAATATGAAAATGATTTGCTAATGTCAATTTGTATGTAATTTCATTAAGTTTAGAATTTTTTTCGAAATTGGCCATTCATTTGTATAATTAATGAATATACAATAATATCTACAATTATATAAATTAATGCCACAGGATGTTGCTTCTATTAATTTATTATTTAATAAAAGTACAGATAAGAACTTAATAAACTTTTACAATATTAACGAAAGAGTATTTTTATTTGAAAGAGCAAGAGAAAACGTACCCGCGAAGAAACTGGATCAAAAGAAGACGAAGAGCACGAAAGTTCAATAAGCTGATTAAAAGCTCGCTATTAATTGATGGGAAAATCAAAATAAATATTTGATTTTTAAAATAAGACGGGTATCGTCTTTCAGAGATATAATGATAAACATAATTAAGTAAAAAGCATATTAAAAAAGGTTAAGGTAAAAACTGCTTGAAATTATGCTTAATACACATAATATTTAAGGTTCTTATTTAATGTAGAATTCGTAAGTTGCCATAATATTCGTTCAAGTCAAGTCAAACGATCTAAGGGAATTTCTTTGCAAATGTACTTTGCATTTACTTAAGTGACTTGGCATTGCCGCGTTATTTATGGGTTGCAAGCACACCTCTTGATTACAGCAGATGTATTCCAAGAATCTTCCCCCTTAATTACTCATGGTAAAACCACGAATTACATTCGATGGAGTCCTTAGGTAGACCCGTATTTTTCTCTTACTTCTTTTTGTAAATGACTTCTGGAAATACTAATGGTCGTGTCATTTGTAATCGTTCATTTCATTTTTCGATCCTTGATAATCTTAAAATAGAGAATAATCTTGTATTTTTCACAAATTTTCATTAGTCTCGTTATTATTCTTCTAGTATACTGCAAACCTAATTTTAACATACAAGAAATGTCTGTTTATAAGTTGGGTATAGATATTTTATTTGTAACAAAGTTATTCGTTTAACATTAAAACTACCAAACAAGTCACTCAAAATAATTGAAGACATACAGCTGCTCTTGACAAAATTAACGTTGACTTTTATTCAGATAAAAACGTAATTATATATACGTATATCTAGTTATTTTCATCGTATTATTTCAATTATTACCACTTGTGTGTAGTATATTTAGCTACACGCCACAGACTATTAGCTCTAATGTCAAACTAATTTGGACGATCTTTTATTAGTTTTGAAATCGATTTAAACTTAATTACGCCATAAAATGATAAAAAATAATCATGATCACTTTGTAAGATATTTAAATCATACAGAGATCAAAGTGATTAACTCTATGTTTGGAATTATTTTAATTTCCCCATGGTACCTGATTCATACCGAATTTTTCATATTTGAAGTAAATATAGTATTATATCACGAAACTTCTATTTATCGTAAATTTATTTGCTTTCCAAGTTTAATAAATTTATTTGCTTTCCAAGTGTTTTAATAAATTAAAATATACACTCACTAAAATGAAAACTACTGTAAACTTATTTTCTCATTTATCGGCATTCGTTATTTTCACTGTTCAACAGTAAACGAGTTATCTCATGACTCATCCTTAACGTGTTATTAACATCATTTCGCCGTTGTATTCATTTACCAAACTTACTTTTCCAATACACAATTTTCATTCATAAAACTGCACGTACAACGTGTACACAAAGTACCCATCTTATTTCCATATCATACTTTATACGCTAATTTACCCCAGTTCAAATGTTCTCACTTTTTAATCACCTAAAGCTACTCCGACTCGATTACAAGAACCGGAGAGATATATAATTGAAAGAATAATTCAGCGATAAACACGAATTAATCGAGTACCCGTTCTATATACATACTCCATTTGCCATAATTCTTTTTACTGATCGAACTTTTCTTTTTTCAGTACATGACAGAGAAGATGGGCGGGGCGGAAGGAACCAAGCTCGACGTCGACTTTATGGATATGGAGAGGGTGAGTACGCGTTTCTACATTTTTAAGGTTTCTGCGAGGTGTTCCTGTTGCGTCGCTTTTAACCTTGAATCGATCTTCTCGTCATCGCCTGATGAAATTTCCTCGTGCTTCTTTCTTGCTCGAATCTTTTATTGCTCGAAATCGTACATGAGAACTAGAGGGAAA